AATAATAGTTGTTACTTGCTATTAAGAATAAGTAGTCTAGGGAGACTAGGATAGAATGAGACAATAACATGTGCATATATTTGGCTGGAATATGACGTGGTAAGTGAAGCTAGAAATACAGTCAGAGGCCAGATAGTGAAAGCATTTTCATTCAGTGCTAAGGAGTCTGGATATTTTAGTGGAGATGATAGAAAAATCATCAAAGAATTTTGATCACTGGGCTGCCAGTGAGGAAGATGGATTGGAAAGAGTATGTGTATAAATTTAGGTCAGAAAGACCAGTTAAGAGGTATTATTAGTATAATTAGTCCAAGGAAATATATGAGGTGAACCGATGGGGATGGAGCAGACATTTAAAACAAATATCTATCTGCACTAATAAAAGAGTAATCTGCTAGTTAGACCAGATGTCTTCTGGATGTCCTTCCTGACAAAGCCAGGGGCATGATTGACCTACAAATTGCCTGAAGCCCCTCACCCAGGCCAGTTCCGCTTCCCAGTGGGGACACTCACCCTGATAGGGGCGTGGCTGACCTGGAAACTGCCTGTGGCCCCTTACTTGGCTGGCACAGCCCCCCAGCAGGGACTCCCACCACATTGGGGGCATGACGGGCAGTCCCCATCCCAGCAGGGTCCCCCACCCTGATCAGGGGCAAGCCTGCAAACCCCACCACCCAGTGGGGACACCCCCGACCCAATTCAGGACTCCCTTCAGGGCAGGCCAGCCAGCCCCCACACATGCACCAGGCCTCTGTCCTAGATAAAAAAAAGTAATATGCAAATTGACCCTAACATCAGAATGACCAGAATAACCACTGGACCAGTCACTATGAGGTACACTGACCACCTCTTGGTCCCTTTCCCTGGCCGGCAGGTTCTGATTGCCTGTTGGCCATCTGCTGCTGGGGCAGGGCTTGTGAGTGGGCAGGAACAGCCAACTTCTCAGTCCCTTTCCCCGGCCATCAGGCACTGATCACCTGATGGCAAATGGGGAACTAGAGGTGGATGATAGTGGGGGTAGAGCCAGCTGTGGGCAGCTGAGGAAGATGGCTCTGATCACAGGCCAGGCCTAGGGACTGTAACTATGCACAAATTTCATGCCCCAGGCTTCTAGTATGTAGATAAAAGCCTAACTGATTATTACAACAGAATGACCGAATAACCAGTTGCTATCATGCGCACTGACCAGTAGGGGGCAGACACTCAACACAGGAGCTGACCCCCTGGTGGTAAGTACACTCCCACAGCCAACCTCCTGTGGCCCTTCCCACCAGCCAGCTGGCCCTCATTAGCCCCTGGTGCTAAACCATTCATAGAGACCTGCTTCTGGATCTTCTGTAGCAGAGCAGCTCCCTTGCTTCAATCTATTGAAAGTTGGCCTCAACAGAAGGTTTTGTCTCACTCCCATCCTCTCCATTCCCCAGGGGCTGCCCACCTGCTATGGTGGTGGCTTGACAGTGAGGGAAGGAGGAAGGGGAGAGGTGGCAAACTGTGCCCTCTTCTCCCAACTCCACTGGGTCCCTGGGGCCCAGGCTGGGACGGGGAACTAGAGGTGAGTGGCATCGCTTCTCGGCCTTTTGGCTAAGATCAAGTGTAGAGGTGAGTGGCAGCAGACATGGCCCCTTTCCCAGGGGAACTGAGGGCTGGCTCCCTCCTTGCAGCCAAGGGCCAACCTCCTGTGGCCCCTCCCCTGGCTGGCTAACCTTTTGTAGTGCTTCCCTCCTGTCCTTCCCCCCTGCCAGCAGGCCCTGATCACTCAATCAGTTCCTCCCCCCTGGCCAGCCAATTTCCCTCACCCACCATGCAGGAATTCGTGCACCAGGCCTCTAGTTTGAGATAAAAGTAAAAAGACTTGTTAACTGATTGAAACATTTGAGAAACAGAAGTCTATTAAAACCATTGAATTGAAGAAGGGGTTTTAGTGATTACTTTTTTTAAAAATATGTTTTTATTGATTTCAGAGAGGAAGGGAAAGGGAGAGGGATATATAGAAACATCAATGATGAGAGAGAATCATTGATTGGCTGCCTCCTGCATGTCCCCTAATGGGGATTGAGCCTGCAACCCAGGCATGTGCCCTTGACTGGAATTGAACCTGGGACCTTTTAGTTCAAAGGCCAATGCTCTGTCCACTGAACCAAACCAGCTAGGGCAATACTTACTTTTTTTAAATGAGAGAGATGTGTGCATATTTATAGGTTAAGGAGAATGCTGAATGAATGAATATATACAGTAAATAAAGGTTAAATTTTATATAGAAGCAAAATAATATATTCACCATAAGTTTTTTAATACTCATATAGGTGATGTGGTATATTTATTAAATGAATGTTCTGGGCTTTATGCAAGGTTCTGTGGGGAATAAAAATATATCACAACCACATGTTGATTGATATTATGAAGAAAAAGAAGGATGAGGCTAGATACTTATAAGGATGGTGTTTTATAAAGGATGGTTATAGAAGGACTTTAAAGTGAGATTTGAGCAGTAAACTAGGTGGATGGTAGAAGTCATTAATTTCCCTATACAAATCTGGGGAACAGGTTTATTGGGGTCAAATTGAGAATTCAGTTTTGACTAGGTTAAGTTTGAGATACATATTACTATCCAGGTAGTATAGGCAAGTTGCATGAGTTTGTAGTTGAAGATAAAATGTGAGAGTCTTCAGCATATACATGGAATTTAAAGCAGTGGAACTGAATCGGATATGGAGAAATCCCTCATGGATATTGGGGGAGATAGAGGTGGAGTATGAAGCCCCGAAGTTAACAAATTTTAAAGATTGGGAAGATGAGGAGTGATCCAATAAAGGACACTAAGAAGAAATGGCCAATGACGTAGGGAAAAAATGAACAGAAAACAGCAATTCATGAACTGTCTGAAATGCTAATGTGTGGACCAGCAAGTTGAAGTCAGTAACAGCATAGTTTTTGCTGATGGGAGAAATCCGGGAGAGGGAGGAAAATAGTTGCTGTGAAAGAGATGGGTGTGGAATTGCAGACAAAGCCTTTGAATGAATAGGCAATAATGGATGCAATCCAGTGCTCAAAAAGGTTGGCCTTAGTTAAGAACACTGTCTTTTTAGCTAAACACAACTTTATGCACTCGTGCATGGCATGCATGCACACTCACATATTTGAATTGTTTATAGTTCATGTACCCACTATTTTCTTTTCTTTAAATATATTTTATTGATTTTTTACAGAGAGGAAAGGAGAGGGATAGAGAGTTAGAAACATGGATGAGAGAGAATAATTGATCAGCTGCCTCTTGCACACCTCCTACTGGTGATGCGCCCACAACCCAGGTACATGCCCTTGACCAGAATCGAACCCGGGACCCCTCAGTCCGCAGGCTGATGCTCTATCCACTGAGCCAAACTGGTTTTGGCATGTACCCACTATTATCTAAGCTTTCAGTTTTACAGAATTATATTCATAAAGCTCTCTCCCTGTGATTTTAAGGAAAGTAGTGGGAGGGCAATATTAATGATCCTTGTTTGCAATTCAGTGAGCCAATCTTTGTGGTCCACTGGAAGTTCTATTATGAAATAAATGGAGGGCATCATTTATTGTTTTTCTGTAGCACAACACAATAGCCTTAGGTGTAGGAGATTCTGTGTTGTACACCCGACATTAGAAACCTCTCCAAAGTACTGAGCTAGCTTAGACACTGTTACAGTTGCTCTTTTAAGTCTGTTTGAAGTGTCAAAGGTAGCATCTAGTATGTGTGAGAGTCTGTTTTGTCTCAGTTTTGTCTCTAGCACTTAGTACAGTGTGGCTTTGAGTAGCAAAGCACTAAATCTGGGTGGGGGCAAGGTTATCTTTTATACTGGGGTGGTCAAAAGTAGGTTTATAGTTGTTTATATGAAAAATAATAAAATAATTAATAATTCAAAAACAAACTGTGTTTCACGTACTCACAACTGGAATCCTTTTGCTCACCCCTTTATATTCCACCTTCATTGCAACAAGTAGAGTCCAATAAGTGGTGTGTATGTGTGTGTGTGTGTGTGTGTGTGTGTGTACATTACAGTGTGTCATCAATAGTATGAATGCAAACAGCAGAAACAGCCTGAGAGGGACTAGCTGGAAAAGGAGGTGCAGGGGGTGGGAGGGGAGGAGTTAGGGACCATAGATATACTAATTTATTTTAAAAGCAATTTCTTTCTACTTCCCGCTTCTTGGAGGCTAATATATATAATGGACTAAAATCGTGGTTCGGTGTAGAGGACACATGCTTTTGTGAGCCCTGTAGATGTTCCTTGAGTTTTCCCTGATACTGTTCAGAAGGGTCACCACGTTTCTGCATCTTTTGGGGGAATCCTCCCAGCGCCAGCCAGGCTGCTTCAGAGACTTGTGAGGGCCTGCTGAGCATGTGTGAGCAGTGCTGCGCATGCTCCGTGAAGTGGGCAGGTTTGCCCGGGCGCTGGCTATGACTTCTACTACTTCTCCCCGGCCTCCCCCCCGCCCAGCACCTCCCCTCTTTTCCACCCCCCACCACGCGGTCCTCCCAACTCGCTCCCGCCTCCTTTTCCCACACCCCCATCACCCCAGGCTAGGGAATCTCCACTGACGTGCTGGTGACGCTATTGTGCCTCCGTGGGGCGGGGTGGGGTGGGGGGAGGGAGGTTGTCTAGGCACCGCACAGGTAAAGCCGCCGCTGCCGCCATATTGACAGAGCTGGGAGCGGGGAGGGTGCTCAGGGAGGCGGGGTGAGGGTGGGGGTCACCGCCAAGCGACAGTCTAGGCGGAGGCAGTGCTGAGCGGAGCAGCAGCTTCAGGAGAGACAGACTGGAGTTGTCTTCTCTATGGGGAGCGGCAGCTCCTCCTGGAGGAGGTGACCTCCTGCTCCCAGCCTCGGAGGGACCCAGGGGCTAGATAAGAGGTCGCCGAAGGCGGGGCTGGAAGGTTTTGGCGGCGGCAGGAGAGCTCCACGGACAGGATGCACGGCGGTGCCCGTGGTCTGCAGCTCCCGTTTCTGCGCTCCTGAAGGGGCGATGCTTCCATTCGCTCCTCAGGAGGAGCCCTGGGATCACGACATGGAGGTGTTTGGTGGCGGCGCGAACAGCTGCGAGGTTAGTGTGGTGGCCAAGGGGGGGAGCCACCCCCATCCTTCCCTCCAAACCCTGGCGGGAACTCCAGAAAGAAGGGGCGTGGGGCTGGGCGCAGGGCGCCCAAGTAAGCCCTCTGCAGGCTGCAGGATGGTTCAACAAGCGCTGTCCCAGCTGTCCCTTCCCTCAGAGCAGGCAGGGACTAGCTGGCGCGCTCAGTTGTGGGGAGGATGCCTGTCTCGCCGGCTACTCTGGAGTTGTGACTAAGTTTCTGTGCTTTGCGATCTAGAGTGGGACTAGGGGGTGCGCCAAGTGTCACGTTGGGTTCGCAAGTCTCTCTCCGTTCTCTGGGAACACTTTGAGGGACAGCTGCTAACTTCAGCTCTCTGTTGAATCGTGGGCGTGTAAGGAACTCAGGGCAACAAAACACCAAGTTGACTAAGTCACTGGGGACATTTGCACCTGGGCATAAGTGCACCTTAGTGACTTGGCTTTCTCATTTCTGTGTGGCTTGTGTCTTTTTTTGTAACAACCCCGGTACCTATTAACTGCAAGCCAGATTTCTTAACCTACATTCAGGTGATGTTCTAGCAGTGTTTCCCAAAGTGTGGTACGAGTACCCCAGGGGTACGAGAAGAATTTGGTGGGGGTACGCGTTGCACCAGAGTTTGGTGGGGATAGGCACTGCACTGTGCTTAGCTGCGCCTAATTCTACGTTCTCATGAGTATGAGGGGTACTCAGCGTTACTAAAATTATAGAAGGGGTACACATATGTCAAAAGTTTGGGAAACACTGCTCTACAGCATCCTCTGTGGTCCCTCTTTTTACCGCCCCCTTTCCTCCGCCCCTTCTTTCTGCCTTTCACAACTGTTGTCTCCTCCTCCCCATTGTTCCATAAAAGACACATATAAATCCCAGACCTTATATGATGTACCTTTGATTAGACAGCGAGATTTAACCACAATATTTAGGTTCTTCTCTTTTCCTGATCCTCTTCTGAAACTGTTGTGGTTGAACTTTGATCAGCTGTGCAGTGAGAACTTGAATGTGCACAGGTACTTCGCTTTATTTTTGTTTGTTGTTGCTATTAAAAGCAGGCAGCATTTAAGCACAATAACTGTACTTTTGGGATAGAAAGTCAGATCCTTTTCTGATAACTTAATCGATTGACAGCCTAGTACTACAATAGAGGCCACCATAGACCTTCTAAAAATACTTGAATGACAAACTACCAATAGTAGTATTTTTTAAGGAAAGACTTGAAATCCTCAGTATCTCAAGGTGTACATTTGTCTTTAAGTATCACTCCATCCTTAAAAATACACTTTGGACTCTTGTCTGTTTAACTCATTCTTTTTCTTTTCAGATTTCCAACCGAACTGGGTTAAAATTACATGCCAGGATAACATTTAACGAGAATGTAGTGGAAACACATTCAGGAGTCTAAAGTTGAATCCTTTCTACTAATAGGGAATACTAGAGGCCCGTGCATAAAATTCATGCACTGGGGAAGGGGATTGTCCCTCAACCCAGCCTGTACCCTCTCCAATATGCGACCGCCTTGGGGGACATCCCTCTCATAATCCGGGACTGCTGGTCCCAACTGCTTGCCTGCCTGCCAGCCTGATCCCCTGCAGGCCTGATCAATGACTACTCCCCTGCCAGCCTGATTGCCCCCAGCTGTCCTCCCCTGTAGGCCAGGACCCTTCCAACTGCCCTCCCCTGCAGGCCTGGTCATCCCCAACTGCCCTCAGTTGTAGGCCAGGTCCTCCCCCAACTGCCCTCCCCTGCAGGCATAGTTGCCCCTAACTTAAGGTGACCAGACATCCCACTTTTGGTGGGACAGTCCTGATTTTTAACATTTTGTCCCGCATCCCACAGCGTTTTAAAAAGTCCCAATTTTTGGAAAGAATGCAGAACAAACTTAGGGAACGGCGGGAGAACCCCAAGAGATCCTCAACCCCCCCCCCCTCCATGGTGTCCGCTTTACCAATGTCAAAATCTGGTCACCTTATCCTAACTGCCCTCCCCTGCTGACCCAGTCACCCCCAACTGCCTTCCCTGGCAGGCATGGTCAATCCGAACTGCCTTCCCCTTCAGGAATGGTCACCCCCAACTGCCCTCCCTTCCCTGAGGCCTGGTTGGCCACAACTGCCCTCCCCTGCTGGCCATCTTGTGGTGGCCATCTTGTGACCACATGGGGGAGGCCATATTGTGTGAGGGTGTGATGATCAATTTGCATATTACCTTTTTATCATATAGGATTTACTATAGAATTAAGCAATTCCCAAATAAATTTAATATTCTACATCTATTGTGAACAGGACAAATGAAGAGGGGTTCATTTCTTTTTAGAATGTAGGGATGCTTTATACTTCCAAGAATTTTCTGGATAGACTATTCAAGAGCAGAGGAATTACTGTTTTATTAATGTATGTAATCTACTGACATAGACTCAGGTATCTGGTTTTTAAAACCAGTTGAATAAGGATGGTTTGTGGGGGGGTAGCCTTTCACATGCCTACTATTTTATTATTTTTGTTAACTTTTACTGTATAAGTGTCTTCTTTCTTTATTTTTATTTTAAGTATTTTCTATTGTAATTACCACACACGGTTTTTTATTTTTTTGCAGTATGTTTTAGATATAGTAGAGATTTAACAATGGGTCTTTCTACCTCAGCAATTTGGAAAAAATACTCCAATGAAAATTGTTAATCCGGCCGAAACCGATTTGGCTTAGTGGATAGAGTGTCGGTATGCGAACTGAAAGGTCCCAGGTTCAATTCCTATCAAGGGCATGTACATTGGTTGCAGGCGCATCCCCAGTGGGGGGTGTGCAGGGGGCAGCTGGTCGATGTTTCTCTCTCATCGATGTTTCTAACTCTCTATCCCTCTCCCTTCCTCTCTGTAAAAAATCAATAAAATATATTTTAAAAAAGAACCTGGAAATGGTCTATTAAAAAAAAAAAAGAAAGAAAGAAAAAGAAAATTGTTAATCCCTATGAATTAATATGAAAGGTGAAAATAATATGGTGAAGATAGTATTTCTGCATTTTTAGATTTAACCCTGAAAATGATTTAATTCAAATATTCTAGGTGAAGACTAAATGCTACATATAAACAGGCCTGATTAGTATTTAGTAGAAGTTTTTGTTGTTATTTGTTTATAATGGTATTCCTTTGAGAATTTATTCTAATTACATTTTTGTTGATGTTGACTTTAGAGATGTTAACCTTTGAGCATGAACTTTACGGCCTTCAATTGTGGTAGTTTTGGAGACTAAGGGTGCTTTCATTTTAAATATGATTTTCGAAAATATGTTGGCATTCTTAAATAAAACCTAAGAATCTATTAATTTTCATGTGAAAGGGAATTTCTGTGTGTCTAAATCATGATAAAATTAAACATTATATACATTACCATATATTATGGATTAAAAGATCTTTTTCAATATATTTTATCTGTCTTGTTTCATGGGTCATTGTTAACCTTTGAATTATCATTCAGAAGTGTGAAAATTGGTTGTTTAAGGCAACATATTTTCCCACAGGAAAAATTATTAAAGGTAGTTACACTTTCAGACCAGGGCACAATAGAGAGGTGTAATGATGAAGAGCTTAAACACTATACAATTTCCTTATAGAAAAATGTGTTGGAGGTTTCAAACAAGAACTAGCTTGGTTCCAGTGAGAAGTGGATAATGGCCTGAAAAGGAAATATGGGCTCTGTTGGCTACTGGAAAAAAGTTTCATAGGTCGATGCTCAACCACTGAGGTACACTGGAACTGGCTGTACCACAGCTTTTTTATCTATTCATCTACTGATGGACACTTGGGCTGTTTCCAGATTTTAGCTATGGTAAATCGTGTTGCTATGGATGTAGGTTGCATACAATTTTTCTGATCGGTGTTTTGAAATTCTTAGGACATATTCCCAGAAGTGGGATCACTGGGTCAAATGACAATTCTATATTTAATTTTTTGAGGACACTCTATACTGTTTTTCATGATGGCTGCAGCAGTGTACATTCCCACCAACAGTGTACTAGGGTTCCCTTTTCTATGCTCTAAGACAGTGGTCTGCAAACCACGGCTTGCGAGCCACATGAAGCTCTTTGGCCCCTTGAGTGTGGCTCGGCGTTAGAAGCACTTCTTCAAAATAGACTCGCCCAGGCCGAAAACCGACTTCTGCGAAGTTTTAATCGCACTGTATGTGTGAGTCCACACGTGGTATTTTGTAGAAGAGCCACACTCAAGGGGCCAAAGAGCTGGCATGTGGCTTGTGAGCTGTAGTTTGCCAACCACTGCCCTACGAGATGTATTGGTAAACATACTGCTATGACAGATATCTGATATTTTGCTTCTTATAGTTTCTTCTAAGATTTTTTATGATTTCACAACTTACATTTAAGACTTTTATCCACTTTGAGTTTATTCTTCTGTATGGTGTAAATTGGTGGTCTAGTTTCTTTCTTTTTTTTTTTTTTTTTTTTTGATTTATCTGTTCAATTTTTCCAACACCATTAACTGAAGAGCTTCTCTTGACTCCATTGTATGTTTTTGCCTTCATTATCAAATATTAGTTGAACTTTATGGCTTAAGTTGGTTTCTGGGGTGTCTGTTCTGTTCCATTTATCTATATGCCTGTTCTTGTGCTAGTACCAGGCTGTTTCCACTACAGTGGCTTTGTAGTATAACTTGATATCTGTTATAGTGATTCCTTGAACTTTGTTTTTCTTTTTCAAGATTGCTGTGGCTATTCGGGGGCTTTTGGGTTCCATAAAAAAATTAATAGTGTTTGTTCTAGATCTGTGAATTATGCCATTAGTATTTTAATAAGGATTGCATTGAATCTATAGATTGTTTTGGATAGTATGGACATTTTACTGATGTTGATTCTACCAATCCATGAACACGGTATATTCTTCCACTTGTTTATATCCTCCTTGATCTATTTTTTCAATAGCTTTTAGTTTTCTGAGTACAATTCTTTTATCTCCTTGATTAAGTTTATTCCTAAG